TGTAATACGGCATGCGTAATAAGAGACCGTTTCGTTGTCTCTCTCAACCTCCCTCTCTCCCTTCCTCCCCCTAACCCTCTGTCCATGCCTCTGTCTCAACAAACCGATATATATATATGCGACCAAATGATAAATTCCATTCGAATAGAGGCGAGAGAAGAAAAAAAAACCATATGGCCGTATGACGTTGCTGAGCTGAGCATTACATGCGAACCATAAATATTAAATAATATTATGCGAGTACGTTTGCGACCTGCTCTCGTGAGTTTTGTGTCTCATGTCGTCATCATACCAAAGCAATGTCGAAAAAACTGACTTTGCCATTATAATTTTTGGTTTTCATTCGTTCGCCAGACTCGTTGCTTTTCATTTATTTTGAAAATGTTTTGAGCGGCTTGGTTTCACTCGAGTCGTTTAAATTTTTTTAATACGAAACGAACGCTTTGATTGCAATTTTTGAATGTTGATTGGATCGCGAGTAAAGTAGTTGCACTGCAGTCATGTATGCCAAGGCGCATACGGTACATATGACATGCCAAATGTTCCATACGATATACACACGTATTACACACAGAGAAGAGAGAAAAAAAACACACCACACAACAACGATATTTTCATTTCATTTGAATTTGTTTCGCATTTCAATGCTTTTGTTTTGGCTTGCCGCTTGCCTTCATTGTCAATTTCCATTTTAAAAAATTCAACTAGTAATCAACAGTTAATGTTATTGTCGTGTACACAGTTCATTTGTGTATCGTTTTCCCTTTTTCTTAGTTTTGCATTATGGCTGTCGCAGCGGTGACGGAGACGGCAAGCGACTGCAAACCTCATGGTTTGGCAAGTGAGCGGCGGCAATATTGAACAAAAACTTTGGTTTCAGAAGCATTCTTCTTGGTTGTTTTTTTGAGAGTTTGTTTTATTTGCCGTTGTGTTCATTTTAATGAATGTGCACGGTTTTCAAACGCAATCCGGAATCCTTTGATTGAATATTAAATTCCATATTAGAAATGAGCGACACTATCACTTTTTGTGTGATCATTTCAGTAACATGAGGTTGACTACCATAAGCGGTAAGACACTCATTCGCTAGCACTATTTCCCTCTCGCGGTGTAGTTCAGTTCAGTTTACAATGTCTCGAAATACATTGCAACAGAACAAGAAAATTAAACGAGAAATCTCAAAAGGATAAAAAAAAGCACAAACACACACACAATCTGCATATGCCGCACACGTTTCAAGTCTCTCACAGTACATTTTTATTGAAAAGCCATTTTAACTTAATTTCATAACATAAGCACCGTGTAAATTTTGTCGGTTGCCATGTATCCATATGATGTGAAACGTGTGTATGAACCGATGACGACTTCGTAAACAGCTTGGTCAAATGCAATCCGCTTTCCGATGTTTTTCTTTTCTGTGTGAATCGTGGTTCCTTTTGAACACATTGGGTATTGCTTGACACGCACTACAACAAAATATGCGTCTCGCAGTTCACATTTTGTCAGTTATAACGTACTTTTTTTTACTGTTTCGTTCATTACGAAAGGTCTTTTGTTGAGTGACCAAAATAAGGAACACCTTTGCTTATGAATGTAGTGTGCATAGTTTTTTTTCATTTTTCCGTTGGTTCGGATCAATGGATCGATAAGCTTAGCGCTTGCTCGCGTACCTTTCAGGTATAATTGTTTATTGTCGGGCTTTTGTGTTCGTTAACATAAATTTCGGACATCGATGATATTCAAGAAACATTTTAATTGTTTAAATATTGATTATTACATTAAAATTAAACGCGCAAAAGATAAGCGGCAAATGTGTATGCGCAGGCCTTTACAATGCACACCCATACATAAAATCGAATGAACCGAAAGAAAGGAACGAAACACTCATGAATAAATATACAATGGGCTTCTAGGCATCGATCCAATGAACAGCAATGACTATAAAGTAGAAAAATTGCTGTGTGAACTGGCATGAAAACAAAAAATTAACAGAGAAACAAATGCGTTGCGTTGGTACAGGAACCGTATACACATTCAATATGGCATTAATTGAACGTTGAGCTGGGCTGCACCGAATACGGCAACCACACTTGAATCGCTCACTCTTTTTAGCGCTAAAATTAATTAAAGGATACCGAAATGTCAATAAACTTTCAGGGGGTACTCTGGAGCTGGAGACCAACCAGGCGAACGCAACATATGTGAGTGCACGTTGTTTCTCCGTCTTGTTAATATATTCATAACAGCTTATTGAGTTTGTTTTGTGGTCGAGGACCAACCAAGCACCTTTCATAAAATATTTCGAAACCGTGAACGGGTAAAATGACTGCATAAAACGAGCGCACACTGCCTGGTTTCTTCCTGAATTTTCGGATATATTCGAAATCAATGTTGTACTATTTGCCAGCTGTTTATTTCGGAATATAATATGGTGGCTACGGCCACTTTTCACTGCTCAGATACATTTCGACTGAAAACGCATTGGTTGCTCGATGTTGAGGGGCGAAGTACGGTTTTGTTTCAGTTTGGTTTGTGCTGTGTGTGTGTGTGTTTTTATTGGCGCAAAATAAATTGAATTTTTTTATGTTTTCCAAAACTCCTTCAAAATGTGAATTATTCACAAACTTAACTTCAAGCCCAGCAATGTTTTTTCCCCGACTACACACACAGATATAAACTATTCCGCTTTTTGTTTTTACATTTTTCACGAGCGCAATTTTTCTCGAAAAAAAAATTATAAATGAAACGTGTGATCATACTTAAAACATCACAAGCAAAAGCAACAGAAAAAAGAGAAGAATGAGACAACAAACACACACAGAAACTCTTTACAAAATGTCTGCGCACATTTTTATTCATCAAATATTCACACATATTCAGAATATAACGTATTCCGACGTGTTCAGTTTTTCCACCTCTCATTAGTTACCAGATTGGTTTTTGTTGCCAGTTGCTACTCTTGCCGCCTTTTATTACAAAAGAACAAAAAGTGTTTAAAAAAAATCCATTTTCTCTTTTTTTTCTCTACTTTATTCGAAACACGCGTGCACTATGTGGAAATGATAGCTTATTCAAGGCAAAGAACCATTACGTACAGACAGACGCATACACACTCACACACTGACGAAAAAAAAATTGTCGACAATAATCAAGCGGATGGATTTTTATGCTGTAGCTGCCACGCCGAGCAAAATGTTTAAATATTTAATATAGCACATTTGTTATTATGTATGAAATCGAACAGCGAACAGCTCACACCAAAAAGACCGTTGAATATCTTTTTTGTTCTGCGTCGCGACAAATGCGTTTTCTGTTCAAACGTAGTTCGGTTCGTTTTTTTTTCTCTTTTAGTCGCAATTTCATGTTATTTTTGCGTTGCAACCGCTTTTGCCATCGTCATCATAAATTTATCTATAAATGGTCAAACATTTTTCGAATAGAATGAAAAATCTTTGCCATAGAGGAAAAGGCGACGACAAAAAAAGTGTGCGGATATTTTTCAATAGCATCGATGTTGGCAGACAGATAGAACTGTGTACACAAAAAAAATAGTGGACGTCTAAAATATTAGAGAACGGACGAATGGCACACGTTGAAATATCAATTAACGTGATTTGAATTGATTTGAGGCAATTTTTTCATTATTTAATGCGATTTCATTTTCGTACCCTCGCAGTTACATCGATTTTTTATCATTTTTATCGGGAAAACGTAGCCAAATTCGTCCAAAATCTTAAAAAATAGATTCAAGCTGTTTTTTGATTCATTGCGAAGCTCGATGTAGCGTTCGAACTACATTCGAGGGCTTCTACGTTTTGCACTGTGTCATTATACTTTTAGCAGTTGTTCTATGAATTATCAACAGCGAATGCTGGAATTGGTCTAGAAAATGAATATAATGAAATGCAAGCTGTTCGTCTCAATTAAATTGGATGTGGGATTTTTAATTGATTCAAATGGTTCAATGTGTATAATCATCGATAAAGATGTGTGATTAATGATCCAAACTGGCATTTGGCTAGTGTGGTTTTTCAGCTGTCGATCGGATATTTATCGACAATTCTGGGCGGCCCAGACGGTGCCCCTGATCATATTTCATATGCAAAACACAAGCTTCTTGTGAATTTCGGCTTCGGACACACACACAGCAACATACACAATGGTGACGACGACAACGACGACGAAGAAGAAGAAGGAACCGTTACCGTTTACCAATCAAGCGATTGCGCAATTAAAATTCATAATGCTTAAGCACGATTTTTCAACACACAGGCGCACAGCACATTTCACATGTAAAAAGCATTGAACTTTTCTTAAATTATGTAAACGACCCAAAAGAAACACAGCCGATAGCCCGAGACAAAACATTGCACGGAAAACGATATGGACCATGTTGTCAAAATGGAAAAGAGAGAAGTAAACGAAAAAACAATGCACACACAAGCTACAATTGAGCGAACGCGTTCTCTACTTAATTTAGCATAATTTTAAGTTATTTCGTCATCGGCATGCAGTCATGTGCATCATTGTGGAGCCCAGACCACAAAGGGAGCGAGAATCATGCGCATTTTCGTTGTACATGACATGTTGGTAGCAAGGCGAACGCATCGAATAAATAATAATTATATTTTCTTTTTTCGGTGGATACACGACGAGCCCGTATTTTTGTGCTTAATCGAAAATTACGAACAGCACACAGTCTTATGCATATTTCACTCCTCATACTCGAAAGAGTAAGAGCGATAGCGAGAGCTGGTTCACATGCAGATCAATTTTAAATTGGCTGTTTCATTTTGAAAGCTTGACTGTATGGACAGAAAGATAATTTGATATACTTCGTGAATCGTAAAGTGTGTATGTGTGTGTGTCATTTGGTGTGCGAATGGAATGCTCATTGCTGTGAGTTTTTCTTATTTTTCAGTTCAAGTGAGAAGAAAATGGTGTTTGACATGTGTGTGGTATGTGTTTGTGTGTAGTTAAGCGACTATTGATAAACTTACGATAAATACGGGACTGCTACTATTTCCGATGTGTGATGATGTTGGTCTTCCAAGCGACTGCCATTAGCATTTTTGGCCCACTTCCTGCAATTTACAATGGAACGACAAGAGAAATAACACTTACGATTAGAAAAACGTTTATGTCGCAACTCGGCTAGCATACGAATAAAGGTGAGAGATTTTATCGGGCTGCTTTGATGTTCAAGAACATTTTTTTACGCAATACTTTACATTTTGACTGTGGAATGGCCAAATGCTATATGCACATTATGAATTGTTCAATGCTTTGATATGCAAAATGACAGCACATTTTTGAAACTAACAAAAATGACGTTTTTTCTACATGACTTTCATTTCTGAAGCCAGATTGTACGCATCAGTTAAGTCTCTCGCTCTTTCTGTCATCTCAATGACTCACTAATGACAATGTCATGGAACTGATGCTAAATTCGTACATCACCGTCAGCTTCTTCTCCCAAGAAAAATATTCATTCTAATAAAAAAAGGGTTTTACAGATGCAGACGCTTCCGGAGTGTGTGCGTGTGTGTGTGTGTTATAGTTCGTTATTTTATTCGTTTATTATGTTGTTCAATTGAATTTTAAGTATTTTTCCGTGTTAAAACGGTAGTTGTTCGTTTCGGCAATTCATTTCAGCCAAAAACCAACAAACGTAATTAAATGTAATTGTATGACACAGGCAATCAGGCGCAGCAACGAAATTCTGAGAAAAAAAGAGTCGCATATGTATACATATATATAACATTTAGACAGTTGACTGTAATCAGGAAATTCAATAAAGCAGTTGCGGCATATGTGCGATATAAAATACGGCAACCGAATGACAAAAACATTCATTGTTTGTATTTCATTTTTATGTAAATGCAGTCAGTTTGAACGCGAACGCTGCTTATAAATGTTACCATCCAAGCAATGCAAAGCGAGAGATAGAGAGAGAAAAACTCCCCAAAAAATATTGACGGGCAACAAAAACTGAAATAAATAAAATGTCTGTTATCAAATTCAATTCGAAATGTAGATTCATTTCAATAATATTTGATACGACTTGTTATTGTGGCTAATACGCACGTAAGCAACAATACAAAGAACGTTTAAAACAATACACACAATCGTCTCTCAAAACAATAACCGATGAAATTGAAATCAAGTGAAATAATACGCGGACAATGAGTACGTTGAGGTGCTTTACATGTTCGCTGATAACGTTGGTCGAACAGCCGCGCAACAACATGAACATAACACTAAAAACAACAGAAAAAAAACATTAACATTGACATAGAAACCTTGATGATATGACAACTTTTCTTTTCCTTCATTTGCGATTCAGTTGATGGTTGCTATTGTCATGCCGTCTTCTGTACATTTCTTTTTCTCTTTTGAAATGTGTCGTCATTATAGCTTTTGATTATGAGTCGAAAAATTAAAACAAATACAATTCAAAAAGCATTCTCCAATTGTTGTCTCAATTTGACTCATTCACAAGCGTATTTTTTCGTCGGTTTCCACTTGAAATTTTTGGCTGTGGAGAATTTACAGCGCAAATCATTCGTATCAAACGAATTAATGCGATAAGACAATTTGTGCTGATACAGCGCACTCAAAATGCAAGCCAATCACAAATTATTTTATAATCTAAACAACAGGGAGTTCATCTTTTGTACTCGCTGTGCTCGCTGGATGTGTGTACAAATGCGCATTGTTATGCTGAACTAAGCATAAGTGCGAATTGAATATGAAACGAATGAAATGTGTTTTTCATTACACAAGACCGTAAGTTTAATATTGGTTGTATATTTTTAGTCGTCGAGTGTGAAAGGTATATGCGATTCGATGTCGTAGTCATCATTAGTCATTTGTGAGCCATATCGGTGTAGTCGGTTACAACAAACTCTGGCAACGTCAACGCTTTTTTTTATGTTTCATATGTAGTATGAACTTGACTGTTATAAAAATATGTATAAAAAAAATGAACGGCGGGCGATGATGTTCGTCAACGCGACGAAGTTTTGAAATCATTTTTTGTTGTTAGGTACACGCGAGTTGGAAATTCTTTTGAAAAATTGTGCAAAATTCCGATAATTCCGATTAATTTTTTCTAAGTTGTTTGTTTTTCTTTCCTGCACAGAAAACAATCCGCGCTTGAGATAGCTTGAATGTGAGTATTTACTGTAAATATTTGCCAATATTGATGACCAGCTTGAAATATGTTTTGATATGAATAATCGCAGACTCGGCTATGACGTAAATGTGAAGGTAAACGGAAGCATGTGATTTGAATAAGTAGAAATGAAGAGGAGAAGAAATAAATCGGATCGATACAAAGAATAAGCGTTTTCTACTGGCAGGAATACTCATTGTTTTGTAAACAACACACCAACGCAACGTTCCGTCGCAGATATTTCGGTGAATAATCTATTAATGTTCAGTGTCAAATGTGTGTGTGTGTGGCAAGTATAAGCGACGGTGGAAATGAACGCTTCGAAGGTTGGGTATATTCACATCATCATTACGAACTTCAAAGCGATTTTTTTTTCTCTCGTTCGAATTCAAACTTTACACTTGAAAGTAACGTCTGATAAATGACTGAATGTTTTAAAGAGTAATTTTTGCGCGGTATCAATTTAATTTAAAGTTCCTGATCGTCGACTGGGCGTGATGTTGTAAAAAAAGGGTCGATGGATTTTTTCTCTCTCGTTCACTTGCAAACACATTGCGAATTGTAATAAGCAGCACCCTCGCATGAGTATGCGATGCGTTGGAAGAATGAATAATACGCAAAAGGGCTTATCGCTGAATTCCATACGATTCGGCGAAACGAATCTTGTTGAAAACATAGTCCAACATCAATGCTGTGATATTTTTTTTCGTTGTTTGAGTTATAAATGCAATTTCTGTTTGGCCCATATCGAATGCGATAAGCACAAAGCCGAAAACTGAAAAGATATTTCTATAGAATTTTGATGCGTTTCAACAAAGTTGTTCGAATTGAAAGAAAGCGGATCTCGTATGGATCTCCATTGAATATGTATTCGCATATTTCCCAACGCGTGTACAAAATGAAGCAAATGAAAGGACGACACACACAGATATTCCGTCGAAACTGAGTGAGACCGATTATACTTTGCCATCAAAGCGGATGAACGAGTAACAGACAATAAAAAAATCATACGGTGGATAAATGGTGCAGTGAAGAACAAAATGAAAGAAGAAGCATCGGCTTAAACCGAAAGGACAAGGAATATCCAATAAATGCGAGTGTGTTTTTTCCCTGTGTGTCTGTTGCGCGAGAACAAAGAAAACAGAAAACGAAAACTTTATTGTTGCTGTTGAATCGGCTGTGTGTGCCATGCATGTGTATCTCTTGCTCGCTCGCTCGCTCTGTTCGTTTTGATATATCCCAAAGATTCTCTTTCTTGTTTTTAGTTGTGTTCGGTGCTGTGTGTTTCGGTTTTGGGTTCTCTTTACTTTCCATCGTTCCTTTTGCTGTGCGAAGCCTTTGGAATTCATTTTGCGCTTTTCGACTTCTTTTCGATCATAGTTTCAAGCCGAGAACAACATTGACGAAACACGTAGCGTTCATCTGAACCAATTTAACTGCATTATTATCTATGCTCATTATTCTTTTTTAGTTTTTTGTTCCATTCTTTTTCTCTTCAATAGCTCCACCGAATTTCTTTTTTTGTTCAGCTCTCTGCCGTTGAGCTCAAAGCGTATCTCTCATTTATAATCGTCGTCTGATGTTTCTTCCGTTCAATGTGCTGCACAATGCGATCGATAGAGACAGAAGATGGGAAAAACGGCAACGCCACCATTTTCGGTTGAGAGCAAGAGAAAAAGCTGCAAAATTGCTGCCAACGAATAGATTTATCATTTCGATGCGAGAACACTTTTCAGCGTATTGGTGTGTCTTTCGCATTAGCGCGCTGTGTGTCTGTGTGTATGTGGCCCTTTGGGTATTGCTGGCTTCCATTGTACAAGCAAATACATAGCGTTGAACGGGGCAGAAAAAAAATCGAAACACATAATTCGTACCTATTTCAAACATGGCAAAATTGAACACGAAATTTTACAAAATATAACGAAATTTCATATTCTCATTATTATGGTTTGCGCATTTTCTTCGTTGGTACGGATTGGGAAGGAATTTTCTTCAGAAAACTAAAATCAAACGATTTTACTCAACGATTCCGTCGTTTTGAACTCAAAATTGCCGTTATGTAAACTATGGGTTTCTGTAATCACTATATCTGTCGATGAACTTCTGAAGAACGAGTCCCGATTGTTCTCTGAGAACGAGTGCAACTCGATGACGCGCACGAGAGAAATCAGAACACGAACCATTTTGCACAAAGTCACTTAGCTGTAAAATCTCACTATCTCTTGCAAAAAGTGCGGCGCGCGCACAAGCCATATTTCTTCGGGATGTGAACATTGGCATAGAACGAATGACGCTGCTACAATATATAGAGCACACACATCGAGAGAACAATTTCCAAATTCGCATTCGAAACTGCAAAATGAACGATGCTGCTGCTGATGCTGCTAATCACTTTTGATGCATATTATCGAGACGATTATGGAGATACAGCATAATCGTTTAGCTTGAAATGTGTTACGGTTCAATTTTATCGGGTTGGGTTTTTTTTTCTCGTTCGAATCGTGTTTTTGCAATGAGGTTTGTTGCAAAGAAGAATGCGGCTAAACGCCGTTATAAATATGAACAAGAGAGAGAAGTGAGCACACCGAAGAAGCAGCCGACGACATGTGATTATGTTCAATATGTCGTTCGCCGTGCAATCATATCGCTTGCAAGCCAAATAAAGCATTTTCATGGTTGGTTGGCCGGACGATGTTCATCTCATTTGTGCGTACATCTCTTTAATTCAGTGAATTTTATTAGCGTCGCTCGGGTTAAATTGTGCGAATTGGATGCCACAATCCAAATGCAAAGCAAATATATCTCGTCGTCGTCGTCGTTGTCGGCAGCGGCGATTGCGACAATGTGTGAATCGAATTTGAAAGCGCGATGCAAGGCGAAAAATTTAAATGCGAAAAACTGAGTTTC